TAATTACTCAGAGGCTTAATATTATTATAATTGCTTGGCTAATGGCTCAGGCTTATTACTAACTAGCTTTTAAATCTTAAGTTAACCCATTTTCTAGTAATCTGTGTATTGCTGTGTGACTGTGGTGTTACCTCACATCTTGCTTCTCTGGTGGCCACTGGTGTCTCCCTGAACTCTGCCTTCTTTTAGTTCGGCTTTCCAGCTCTATTCTGCCTTGCCATATGCCAAAGCAGCTTCTTTATTAACCAGTGGTAATAAAACATATTCACAGCATCCAGAGGGTCATCTCACATCAGTAATTGACTGCATGTCATGTCTGAAGAGAGTCTGACATTCTAGTCACTGGAGAAAAGACCGCTGCCAATGCCTGGGCTTTCCCAAATTACATTGTATGATAAATTCTGCCCCTGGGGTGTTCTTATAACAAAATTGTAAAGCCCTCACCTTTTCAAGTGTGCAATTTAGTGCATTCACAAGGTTACTCCATCATTCCCACTGTGAAGTTCCAAGACATTTCATCACCCTGGCTCAGAAGTTAAGAGCACTGTCTGTTCTCCCAGGGGTCCTGAGTTCAGTTCCCAGTAACCACATGGTGGCTCACAACCATCTGTAATGAGATCTGGTTCACTTTTCTGGCCTGCAAGTGACATGCAGGCAGAACACTCTATACATAATAAGAAAGAAAGGAAGGAAGGAGGAGGAATGGAAGAAAAAAATAAGAAAGAAAGAAAGTACAGAAGGGAGAAAGAAAGAGAAAAAGGAAGGAAAAGAAAGAAAGAAAGGAAAAGAGGTGAAGGAGGAGAAAGAGAAAAGAAGAAAAAAGAAAAGAAAGAAAACTCTTTTACCAATCACTTCCAGTTACCTCCGTCCCTCAGCTCTGGGAGAAAATGCTAATCTCCTTTTTATCTTTAGGGATCTGTTTATTCTGGACATTTCTCATTCCATAAACACACAGTGAGTGGCCTTTTATGTCTGCTCTACTTCACTTGTGGTATTCTAAAGGCTCACCTGTGCTCTACCGTGCATCAGTACTTTGATCTTTTTATGCCTGAGTAATATGAGTGTGGGTTATAAATATTTGTTATCTCTTCATCTGCTGGACATTTGGTTTTATTCTATTTTTTAGTTACTATGAATAAATAATGAATGAATATTTCTGGATTGCAGCTCACTTATAAATGTTGAATTTTATGTTATATGAATTATTCTGTACTTTAAATAGTTTTATCTCAGATAAATAGCCTCTTCACCTCCCCACCACCCAACCCCTCAAGTAATACCTGCTTGGTATTTTGTTAGTTTTTGTTGTTGTTGTTGTTGTTCAAAACAGGGACTTATGTAACCCAGACTTGGACTCAAACTTTCTTCAGTGCATATATAAAATCTTTCACCTTTTGCAAACTCACTATGTAGCAGAAGCTGACCTTGAACACTCAATCTTCTGCTTGTCTCCCAAGTGCTGGGATTAATTACATGTGTGCACCTTCACCCTCAGCTATTACCTACATGTTGGAGGTTAGTAGAGAATATTTTTAAAGTAAGTTCTTTTTCTTCTTACCTGGAGCTTTCCAGTATGTTTTTCCTTATGAACACACACACACACACACACACACACACACACACACACACACAGAGTGTACACATTTTCTGTACAGAAAACAAAAACCTGTGTGTGGAAAACATTTGTGAAGAAGTGTTGGACAAGAAAATCCTCAAGTGTGTTCTGTGCAGAGGCTAAGAAAAAGTTGAGAAGTTGGATCAGACAGGTGCTTACGGTTTATCAGGAGAAAGAAACCTGTAATAGCATTAATGTGAGGTACGAACATGTGGCAGCAAGAGTGGTGGAGGATAGTAAACACCAGGTGTGAGCAGCCCTGCCTGCAATCTTGATTGTCAGCTAAGGCCCACAGGCTACCTCTTAAAGTACCAATCAGGAACTGACCTGGTGCAAAGTGTTTATGGAATGAGAACTGTGGAGAATGTGGGGCTTTCATCTCATAGCTGAAGGCTTTCTTCTTCAGGGAAGGGGGAAATGGCCTTACATTTCAGTGTTCTTTCTTTGATAATGTAACGTGTCCAGCCAGGGCCTCCAAAGGGGATTTGTGTGTGCAGGCCCAGATGCGGAAACACACCTGGCTGAAGCCACACTCTTCTCACAGTAAATGAGACAGCTTGGCTGGCCCATGTGTGGCCCCTTCTGTTTTGAAGGTGCTGGGAATCCCATGTGAGCCAATCAGAGGCAATTAAGTTGCTATATGAAGAACTTTAGCTTCCCATGTGGACTTGAGATACACTGTCATCATCGCCAAGAGAATGGATTCTTTTAAAATTGAAAATCCTTTCCCTTCTTGGCAAATACTTCATTTCATCTAGCTCCGCAGAGTTTATAGGATATGTCACTCCAGTTATTTAAAGTCCAATCCAGACTAGCAGTTCTCTGTGGTCCCCAGCAGCTGCCGAGCAGGAAGGAGAAGTGCGACCCGGATGGCTGACAGCAGGCTGTCACCCAGAAGCTATCCTGCACCAGCGGTTGCTGTTGGCAAAGACTTGTTTTCACCATAGCAGATGAATAGGAGAAGCAGCATGGCCCTCGGCACCCGCTCTTGGGCTTAGTACAACAGCATTTTTCAGCCGGGTAATTAGTGCACAGTGCCGGGGCTGGGAAAGGAAGCATCTGCTGTGCCTTTCACACTGGTAAGCTGACAGCCCGCTGCTCCCGTTTCCTCGGGAGATCCCAGAGAGTCAGTGGGCCAGGCTGTCTGTGTGATGTTGGGAAGAAACCGGTTTCAGAAGACTTTCAGTCTTGTGCCCCTGCTGCTTTCTTTCCAGCGAAGTACGTGCTATGTACACCTGTGATCCCAGTGTTGAGAAGGCAGAGGCAGGAAGATGGCAAGTTTAAGGCCTGGCCACCTCTTTAAGAGGTAGAGGCACAAGGATGGGAGGGTGGATCTAGGAGGAATGGGAGTGAGTGTGATGGCATACATTGTATGAAATTCCCAAATAATTAATAAGAATATTATGTTTTTGGGGAAAAGATATTTGTGATTATAAAAGAAAATATTTTTTGTATTAGTCCCAGATACTTGAGAGGCTAAGGAAGATCATTTGAGTCCAAGAGTTCACAGCTAGTCTGAGAAACATAGTGAAACCCAGTTTAAAAAAAAATCCAAATTAAAATAGGCAGAGTTTTTTCTGTGTTCTGGCAGCCATTCCCAAATAACCACTTAGAGACTTAATATTAATTATGAGTGCTAATACAGTCACCATCAGGCTTTCTTCATGTACAGAAGCCATTGTCTGACTACAAAACAGCACCTGAGTATTTTGAATAAGAATTTAATATTTTAAATGTGAGTAAACAGAATTATCTTAAAGTTGATAGCAGATACCTCAGGGGTTTTGGTTTTTTGTTGTAGTTCACTTTTGGTTTCTTTCTAATACCTTTGAATGATGTGGGTACTTGGCAGCCATTCCCATAATCATCCAACTGTGGCCATTCTCCTGGTTTCAGCAATTATATCAGCTTGCGCTACTGGTAGATGCTAAAATATCACAAATACATTTGGAAACTTCCTTTCCACTTAGCCTCTTGTCTCCTTTTGTCCTGCTTGCCATTTGACTTCCTTTCTGCTGAAACTCTCAGCACCTAAGCATAAAAGACTCCTTTGGTTCAGAAATCCTAAAATGTTCCCAAGACTTGTGTGGGCTCTGCACTGCGATGGAGTTAGCATCGTCGGTGAGCCTGTACTTACTTGTGCTCTGCTTGGTTTCCGCACATTGATTACATTTGATCCTTGAAGCAGTCTTGTGACTGTAGCGTCACTCAGAGATGCAGCTCCCGTGGCTCAGAGACGCTAGATGGTTTGACCATCACTGCAGAGCTGGAGCTAAAACCCAATCTCCTGCCCCCAGCTTTCCCAGAGCCTGTGACTCCCTCATTGATGTATTTTGAAACAGTTATCTCATTCCAGAGATGAGGAATACTTGTTCTCAAGGAACTTTCTGTTGTGATCATTATAATGGGACTTGACCTGGGAATGGATTTCTGGCTTTAATCTAGAACATGTGAGGTTAGCTCTGTGGTTCTTGAATTCAAACTCATCTGGCATTTGGATTCATCCATATTTATTGAGCACCTATTACATGAAAGGCACCAAAGACACATGGAGACCAGCAGCTACATGATTCTAGCCACCACAGTCTCTCCCACTCTCCTCCTCTCCCCTCTCCCACTCCCCCTTCTCGTGAGTCTGCCGGTGTGTGTGTACTTACATGTGGAGGCCAGAAGAGGATGTTGGAATTCTTTCTAAGCCACATTCCCTTGAGAAAGGGTTACTATCATCCAGACTAGCCAGCAAGCTCCCGTGATCTATCTGTCTCTACCTTATAACATTAGGGTTACAGCACAGGCAACTTACGCCCAGCTTCATATGTACCCATAAAGCTTACACACATCGCCCAAACTTGGCAGATGAGGAAGCTTCCCAAAGGAGACCGCTCAAGTGAAGACTAAAGGATGAGTGAGAGCTCTAGCCAGCTAAGAACTGCAGTAGGGTACCTGGTCTACACAGTGAGTTCTAGGACAGTCAGGGCTAGATAGACAGACCTGTCTTTAAAAGAAAGAATTGAAGTAGGGTGGGCAGTGCAGGTTCTAGAAAATGCAAGAGGAAATTGGGCAGTGGTGGCGCACGCCTTTAATCCTAGCATTCGGGAGGCAGAGGCAGGCGGATCTCTGTGAGTTCGAGGCTAGCCTTGTCTACAGAGCTAGTTCCAGGACAGCTAGGGCTACACAGAGAAACCCTGTCTCAAAAAAGAAAAACAAAACAAAACAAAAAAAGTACAAGAGGAATATGAAGACATGCAGATGAGAATGTGGCCCCTATGCCTCTGTTCTTGTTATAAGGGCAGATCCAATGATCCAGCTGTTAGGAAGAGTTGGATAAAGTAAGTTGTTGCAAGGCTCATGCTCAGAAAATAACCTCTTTTTTGTTTCTTAATAGAAAAAGCTGGAGTCCCCACCGCCATCTACCAATCCCTTCCTGGAAGAGGAGACAACACCAGAGATGGAGGAGCTGGCGCTGGAGAAAGGAGAATTAGAGCAAGTGAGTCTGCTTGTGTCGTAGTGTGTAACCAACTCAGATTGCTTGTGTTGTAGTGTGTAACCAACTCAGATTGTTTGTGTTGTAGCGTGTAACCAACTCAGATTGCTTGTGTTGTAGTGTGTAACCAACTCAGATTGCTTGTGTCATAGTGTGTAACCAACTCAGATTGCTTGTGTCATAGTGTGTAACCAACTCAGATTGCTTGTGTTGTAGTGTGTAACCAACTCAGATTGCTTGTGTTATAGTGTGTAACCAACTCAGATTGCTTGTGTCGTAGTGTGTAACTACTCATGCACCTTTCTGGAAGTGAGCTAGGGACCACACTTAGAGATCACAGTGGTGATGGGCTTTACAGAAGACCTGGCATGAGGGCCTGGCCAGATAACAAAGAGTTCTTCCTTGTTCAGCATCTGGGTCTGTCAGGAAGCTTTCCTTCCTCTTATCCAACACCATGATGATGTGAGACACTGTGGGGTTAGCAGTGTCATGGGCTGGGAGAGGCCTCCACACAGCAAGTCAACATGGAAACCACTGGAGAGGCCTTGGAAACATCAGAGTAACCAGAAGCATCTTTGGAGAGTTCTTTTCAGAGCACACCAGTACTTTAATTTCCTTCAGCACTTTCTGTCTAGCTCGAAACTTCCTCTCCCTTCTTCCTGCAGAATGGTGTTTTTGTTTCATTGCTATTTTATGTCAAGAGAGGTTGAGCAGTAAGTCAGCCATTTCCTTTCTGGATTAGTGCTCCTTTTTAATTTTCTGCACGTGGCTGCTGGAGGATTATTTGGTGGCATTGTTTCTCTCCAGACACCAGCCAGAGGGAGGTGGCTGGGACACCAGCCTGAGGAAGCCCCCAGCCACACACTGTGCTGCTGCTAGAGCTGTGTTCCTAGTGTGGCGAGGTTGTGTGAATTCTGGCAGGAGTCAGACAGCAGAATTCTTAAGGGCCATAAAAAAGTGTCTGTTCCCTTGAATAAGTAGTTGTAATAACACAGATACCTCACATTTGAGGCACTTTATAATTTCAAACTCTTTACTCGCTGTCTTTCATTTCACTTTCACAGTGGCTCCCTCTGGTTCTACAGGTGATCAGAGTACAGCTCTGAGAAGCCCAACAGCTTGCTCCAGGCAGTGAGTTTGGAAGTGGAGGGGCCAGGTCTAGCAGATACAAGCTGGAATTCCTTACCTAGCCCACACCGACCCCTAACATGCACACACTTCATGTCTTATTAAAAAGTGAAGGCCATAGAAATTAAGTTTATAGGCAAAAGTAAATAATTTGTCCAGGAAAGTGAGGCTAGCTGTAACTGACTTACAGCCACTGAATCACTGAGCAGCACAGAAAGGGGGAATACTGCTTCTCACCCCAGAGCAGTTCTCAGTGTGGGAGCAAGGACTAGGGCTGGAGGGACCTCATTTTCCCTGTAAATTCCTTTCTCTGGGCTGTCTGCCCAGCAGAATCATGCCTTGTAGTCATGCCTTGCATGGGCCCCTGCAGTCTCCCCATGCCTTCGTCATGATTAGAAGCATGCAGTTGGAGCACTCATGTGCTCTATGGTGGCTGGTCACCTCTGAGTGTCACTGCACTGAATTAGCAGAGTCCCTTCAAACCTTTGCACAGTTTTGCTACGTAAAATATGATCTTGCTTTTGTCTTGGAGCTTTTCCTCTTTGTAAAAGCCTGAAGTGATTGTGGTAAGACCAAGACCTGCTGGATCTAAGGACCGTGAACACTGACCTGGCCAGGCAGGTGTAAAACAGAACTCTGTGGTGAGGAAAATGCTGGACCTGTATCTGCTACTCAGAGCCACGTGGTCTCACATAGGTTTAGGTTCTCAGTTCCCTGCTGTCTACGTCATGACGCTGTATTCTTTGATGGTCCATCAGACGTGGGGAGTTAGGAGAGAAAAGGTCCAAGGTGTCTTAGCCAGAGCAGCAACATTCTGAGTCACTTTATACATGGACTTTCCAGATCAAGCTTGTTTTAAACCTGAAATTTTACGTGTATTTAAAAAAAAAACTAATAAAAAAATCTCTGAATCAGATGATTTCCCCATACATCAAGGCTGTTCTTTAGTAGCAGTAACACTCACACAGTGACTTATGCCCCCACATGTCACTCTCACCGCTGACTGAGTAGCTGGAGTCTCAGATCTCAGCCAGTTGTCTTTTGGGGTCTTGTACCAGAAGAACAGGCTCTCTTGGAGTGCAGAGAAGAGACTCCACAGCATTAGTAGGGAGCGAGCCCAAGTGTGTGTGTGTTGGGGGCGGGGGGGGGGGGGGGCCCTACCTGTTGCCCTGGGCTACTCTAACCAGCTCTAGCTACAGCCAAATACGCAATTGACCTCCAAGGTCAAGGTCATCCCTTGCTCCCCACTGCTGCTGTTTGTGCCTTGCCACTGGGAAGGGAGTGTGAACTTGAAAAGCAGTGTTCACTTCTTGAGGAAGACTTGAGTGCTTAGTTGCCAAGATAGTCCCAGCGATTAAAAAAGCAAGGGACTGAGGGCACAGGAGGAGAGAGAAGAAATCAGGAATTTCTGGTTTAAAAATGTACCCTTGTAGTGATCTGAGCAGTTAGATTTAATCTGTTTACATTGGATAGTAATAAAAGGAAATGGGGCCAGCTGCAGACCTCCTTACTGTGACAACAGTAACCTTTTATTATTCCATCAAACTCGGGAGGAAATAGCTTAAACATCTGCAGCGTTTGGACAGAATTCACACACTCAGCAGTCCAGCCTGAATGCTACTGCTAAATGACTTAGTGTGTTCTTTAAGCTACAGAGCAGCTCTTTGGGGAGCTGCCTGGTGCAAAGGGAGACACCAGTGTGAGCTGAAATTCCAGCACCTACTCGTTACACATGAGCACATCCGTAGAGGAGCTGTGGGCATGGGCATCCCTGTGAACAAGAAGTGAAAGAAAGAAACCTGGCCAGTCTCTCCTGTTATCTCCATCTTGCTTCTGCTCCTGATAAAAATGCATCAACAGGAACTAGGAACTGTGGTGGCAAGACCAATGACAGACAAGACAGAGGTAGATCAGTCACCTAAGGTGGAGTTGGGACACCTGCCTATCTAGTAATGAAACTTTCTATGCGTTCGGTGGGGCCTTGCCATGCATAGCCCCTGTGAAGATCAGGCTTGATGACTTGTAAACCTAACACTAAAGAAGTTGAGGATTATGGTTCAAGGCCAGCCTGAGATACAGAGTTCAAGACTAGGCTGGTATACGTGGCAACGCCCTGTCTCAAACCAAGCAAAATGAGCCAATAAGATGGCTCACTGAGTAAGGGTGCTTCTGTGCAAGCGTGGAAAATTGAGTATAATCCCCAGAACCTGTATAAAGATGTGTTGCGGGGGATCCATCAGAAAAGACTGCTCAGACAAGGGTTTAAGCCAATATTACATCTTTACTAGTCACCCGATAACTGCTTTGGGTGTTAGGGGTCCTAGTATAGCCCTGAGTCTTTATTGAGGTGAGCTTCTAAGCACAAACAAATAAACAAACAAAACAAAAATCCACATCCTTGCTTGACATATTTCAGTTAACAAGAACAATTATCGAGAAACAGAACTACAAAAGCCAAAAAGCAAGGATAGAACATTTAGAGACTTTCCCAGAACTATGGGCTTTGATGGGTTAGGCCTTTGTTTTTGTTTGGCTGGTGGTGGTGTCGGTGTGCTAAGTTATGGGCTGAATGGAACTTCCATCATGGTGGCAGTTGTGCTAAGGTCTGGAGTTCTGAGGGTATGTTATAGATGGAAGGAGAGAACTGACTCCACAGAGTTGTCCTCCAACTTCCATAAACTTGCCATGTATGTGTGTGTGTGTGTGTGTGTGTACACGTGCACATGTACACACACACACACTAATAAATAATGATAATTATAAGCAAAACAAAGCACAAGATGAACAGTACGTGTTGGGGAGGTATCCTGGTCAGTAAAACTCTCGCCTCTGTAAGTGTGAGGCCCTGAGTATGGCTCTCCAGAATCCATGTCAAAAGCTGGGAGTGGTGGGATGCGCCTATAATCCCAGTCATGTGAGACAAGACTGAAACAGACAGACCCCTGCTACCCACTGGCCGCCCAGCCTAGCCTGCTTGACAAAGTCCTGACCAAAACATGGAAGGCACCAGAGGATGACTCCCTAGGTTAAACTCCTCTCCACACCTCTCCCCACCCCGTGCAGCACATCTACATGAGCATGTACCTCCCCAACACACACAGAGAAAGGGGTAATACTCATGATTATGTTTAAATCACTGAACAGGTACTTGGTGGCAATAGCCATGATTTTCCAATCTACAGTCAGGTTTATCTAGTCCTATAAAGACAGATTGAGTCACATTTTTCTGTATTAATAAATCACCTTATCAAAAAGAATATATTAAATAAACAGATAGAATGGGGTCTGGAGAGATGGCCCAGCATGTAAAATTCTTGTTGTACAAGAACAAAGACCTGAGTTCAGATCCCCAGCACCCATATAAAAGCGAGATGTGGTGTACACACCTTTAACTTCAGCACTGGGGGAGCAAAGACAGTGGATCCAGAGGCCTTACTGGCCACTCATTCTAGCTGAAATGACAAACTCAAGGTTCAGTGAGAGGTGACTCTCTCAGAAAGAAAGTGAGGTGGAGAGCAATAGAGGAAGACGTCTGAAATCAAGCTCTGCCACCCCCACACACAGGTGAACACACCCCCACACAGGTGAACATGCCCCCACACGCAGGTGAACACACTCCCACACGCAGGTGAACACACCCCCACACACAGGTGAACATGCCCCCCCACAGGTGAACACACCCCACACAGGTGAACACACCCCCACACAGGTGAACATGCCCCCCCATAGGTGAACACACCCCCACACGCAGGTGAACACACCCCATACAGGTGAATACACCTCACACAGGTGAACACACCCCCACACGGAGGTGAACACCCCCCAACAGGTGAACACACCCCCACACGCAGGTGAACACCCCCCCACATGCAGGTGAACACACCCCACATGTAGGTGAACACACCCCACACGCAGGTGAACACACATAGAACAAAGGGGTAAGAATCCCCACAGCCTTCGTTCTTCGTGGCGGGTCATCTGTGTTAACTAGTGGAAGCCAAGAACAACGCCTGGCACCCGTGTTCTGAGGGGAGCAGCTATGGACTGGATAAAACCCCGTGTTTTCCCAGAGGCCCTCTCATCGTCCCGCCCAGGGCCCAGCATTGGCAGTAGTTTAGTTTCCAGACGACAAGATACATAGGCACCTGGTGTGGGTTTGCCTAAAGAAGGGCCAGAATTTTGAGCAGGTGTGGTGGCATGTTCCTGTAACTTCAGTACTTAGGAGGTAGAGGACTTCTGGAAAACAGTGAGACTGTCTTAGAGAACAAAACCAGAAGGGCAGTTTCTATCTGACCTCAAATTTTAAAACATGAAACTCATGGAAGGTGAAAGAAAGATGAAATTATAGGATATATGTAAAGTTGACTTTTCTCTCTTCTTTTTTTTTTCTTTCTGTAGCCTTGGCTAGCCCAGAACTCAATAGATATCCCCCTGCATCTGCCTCCCAAATGCTGGGATTAAAGGCATGAGCCATCACACCCAACAACATTTAATTTTTGTAGAAAATTACTCATTTTTAAATGTTTGGGGGTTTTATTTTTTATTTTTTGTTTTTGAGATGGACTCTCTGTGTGTAGCCCTGACTGGCTGAGAGCTTGCTCTGTAGACCAGGATAGCCTTGAACTCACAGAGATTCGCCTGGGATTAAAGCAACTACATCAGCTAAAAGACAATTTTAACCCGTTACAGTGGTTTGTAAGGGACCAGATGCTAAAAAGAAGGTGGATGTATTTTTGTATATCACTGGGTGGCAGCTTTTCCAGTATTTGGCAGTTATTTTTAGTCTTAATATTTTTTATTGTTTTATTTATTTAGAGTGGAGGGAAGGGAGCACACACCTTGATGCTTGTCTGGAGGTCAGAGGACAGCTTGTGACAGTTGCTTCTCTTCTTCCACTGTGTGGGCTCTGTGGGTTCTTGTAGACCAGGCTGGCCTCGAACTCAGAGATCCACCTGCCTTTGCCTCCCGAGTGCTGGGAATAAAGGCGTGTGCCACCAGCACCCGGCTTTGTTTTTGTTTTTTTTTTTTTAATATACCAATGGAGTCATATCTCTAGCCCCTCGCCCCTCTCTGGAATGATATCTAATTACGGAGCCCAGGCTGACCTGAGACTCTAGCTCTGGTGCTCTGGAGTGCTGAGATAGCAGGAGCACAGCACAGTGCCCGCTCAGGCTGCTGTGCAGTGTCGTCCCTCATTAAGCCAGTTAATGGAGTGTGGTGGTAGAGCGCTGGCTGATGTGCAGCACCTTGGGTTTGATCTCTGCAGAAAGGAGGAAAGGGCCTAAGAGTTCTGATCAGCAAGGATGTTGCAGGCATGGCTTATGTTAAATTTGAACTTCATGTCTTTGGCTCAGAGTCCTTTTGCTGACATTTGACAGTAGACAGAGTAACATTTTTTTAAGGAGTAGAAAGTAACAGGGAGATTCTTATTTTTTAGATACTTGGAGATAAATTGGGAAGAAAATATAGCTTTTAATCATCTGCTGCCTAGTAACCTGTTCGCCAGTGGTTTTCAAGTATCAGTGTCCCCACTATAGTCTCCAGCCATGCTTTTCTAGACAAGATGCCCCAAGCCACAGCATTGTAAATGGTGAGGCTAGAAGGTAGAGAACAAGGTGGCAACCCCTCCTTGGCCTCCCGCTCCTCTCTTCTCTTACGTTATTCGTTAATGTAAGTCCAAAGTCCAGGGAGCTCTGCAGGAGGAGCCGGTCTGACCATGTGCCTTGGAGTTGCTGGTAGAGGAGCTCAGCACCTTGCTTTCCTGGGCTGTGTATTAGTAGCAGGAACACCACCATGAAGGAAAGATGAGAAGGTGTCTAGCATGGAGGTGAATAGCAACAAGCAGAGACTACCAATACAAAATTCAGCCCGGACTTAATATTTGAGAACATCATGATGATGAGCTTCCAAATCAAAGATGCATGTAATATCAGAGTGGCAGAAAATCTTCCGGCACTCACAGCAAGTCAGAGATCTGGACAAGAGCTGTGCTGGCTCCCTGGATGGTCATGGCATGATGCAGCCCTATGTCCACTGCTCCTATGAGCTAGGAATGAACTCTGATGTTTTCTTTGAAATTGCTTAAAATCTTGCAGAGGTTGCCCAAACATGGGGTTCATGTTCATTCATATTTTTTCCTCCTCTCTTTCCAGCCAAAGAAGCCGAAAGCCCCAGACAATCCATTTCATGGTATTGTTTCCAAGTGTTTTGAGCCTCATCTCTACGTGTACATTGAGTCCCAGGACAAGTGAGTGACAAGCATTTTGCTGTTTTCTGTTTGTGTTTCTAGCCTCTGATCTGTTGCATCCTGCACAAGAACAGAGCTCATTAAGGATATTGTATCTTCTGCTTGTAACTGTTTATTTTGCCTATAACTTGTTCCTTTGAGATAAGATATGTAGCTTGACTAACTCATAGAGATATGCCTGCCTCTGCCTCCCAACTGCTGAGACTAAAGTTATATGCCACTACACTGGCATATTTTCCTCATCAATCTAAGCTGCTTGAGCTTGCTGTATAAGCCTCCATGTGGATCTGAACACCTCTCACCGCCACCCCCATCTGGGTGCTAAGCTTTTGAGCACTGAGTGTCAGGCACCCAGACATTGTAAGAAAGTCTAGTCCCTGAAGTATATACTTTCAATTATAATTTGGCTTTTCATTGTGAGGTAATTTTGGCTGTCAAAAAAGCTTTAAAAAAACACAAAAATTTTCCAGTAACCTTCCCCAAGCCCATGGACATCATAATGTAAACATAATTATCAAAATCAGAAAGTAAGACTGATCCTTTTTCTGGTCCAGGACCCAATAATTGCGCAATTAGCTGTGCTCTCTGGAGTCTCCTTTAATCCTGCTTCCTTATTTTCTCTTAGTCTTTCTGACCTTAAAGGGTTGATCGGATGTTTCAGATACCTTGTGAGATGCCACCAGTTTCCATTTGCCTGATGTTGCCCCCCACATGCCCTCTTTTGAAACAGTTTCTATGTTGCCCAGGCTGCAACTGGGATCAAGCAAGCAATCCTCCCACCTCAGCTCTCTGACTACTGGAAATACACACACCCTATAGATTAGTGTATTGTCTTTCTGAAACCCACGTTATGAGCTAGCGTAATAGCACACATTATAATCCGTCACTTAGGTGGTGGAGGTAGGACAGTTTCAAGTTCAGAGCCGGCCTGAGCTGTGATGTGACCATGTCCCCAAACAACAAAATCAGTGCTGCTATATCCTTCTCGGTGTAGGTCAGGGGCTGGTGCAGACTCTGTTGGCTAAGGTGAAGCCTGCCAACCTTCCTAAGTGCTGGGGTTAAAGGTGTGCGCCTTCACCTCTCAGCTGGTATTCTACTTTAAATAAAAAGGTTTTACTTCTTTTTTTTTCTTCCCTAAAGCAGGGCCTCCCTGGCCTCTGCCTCTTGTCTTCCGAGTGCTGGGATAAAAGGAGCATAAGGAGTATGCCACCATGCAGGCAAACGCTTTTATCCTGATTTTATATATCATAAATTTTATATTTTATATATATAAATTTTATACATGTCATAAATTTTATGTGTGTGTGAGGGGGGGAGAGAGAGAGAATATATAAACATGGCCACAAATTTTGATTTTATTCAATGGATTATCTCCCACCCATTTTTCTTTATATTAGAATTAATTTATACCTTTAGAAAGATTATGTAGATTTCCCATATTTCATACCCTACACGCTCTTTAATATTAATGTCTTATATAGCCATAGCAAAGTTATCAAAACTAGCATGTGATGTGTATGATGGCAGGTTCTTATGATCCATCACTCAGGTGCTGAGACAGGAGGATCATAAGTTCCAGGCAGCCTGGGCTACATGGCAAAGTCCTGTCTCAAAACCTAAACAACAAAGTCTGGAAGTTAAAAGTTGATACACTACTATTACCAGTGTCCAGGCCTTACTTGGCTCCTGCCAGTTTTCCCACTATGGCCCTTTTTCTCCCTAGGATTTGTTGTTTTAATGCTCAGGTTACTTGTGATAGGACCAGTGTGAGCCTCTTGAGCTGGCCCTTCATCTTTTTATGTGCCACTATCATTTCCTGAGCATGCCCCTTTCTTTCTGGCACAGTAAAATGCACCAGGCTTATCTTGTGTTCCAAGTCCAGCCCCAGGGTTAATGCTTCCAGCCAGGCTCCCCATTTCCTCTGTGTGGAGCTACTGCAGACACCAAACTCTAGAGTGACTGAGCTGAGTGCTGCTGGTGCCATTGCTCACAGGCACTCACCCGAGACAACTAGGAAACGTGTGTCTTCATGAACATTTATGCATCCACACACCACTGTACACTAAAGCCTGTGTTCATGCCAACAGCTCCATTCTAACCTAACCCCACAGGAGCTCCCATGCTGATGGCTGCTTCAATAACACAATAGTGAAAATATGCTTGGCTCCTGGCATCCTTGCTACATTTACTAGCGTCCTCCATTTCTTCATGTATGGCCCATTTCTCAGTTTCCTTCCAAGCCCACTGCTCACCCCAGAGCCAAGTCCATAGCCCCAGGCCAAGAGAAGTGAAAGGGTGCTTCTTAGTGGGTGCAGCCCTGAGAGCACATGTGCTGAATCTGTGGGGCTCCTGGGCCACCTCCCCCCCAGTGCTACTGCTACATTGCTTTCCAGTCTGACTTCCTATTTCTGATGCTCACTGCAGATCCATCAGCAGTACCATGCTAAGCCCAGTCTGCCATGAATGATTGTTTCTCCTCCAGTGGCTTAATCCTTCCCACACTGACGCCACCCTGCAATATGCTTTACTCCTCGTGCGTTTTTAACTTAATCAGCAGAACTTCCAACAGTGTGGCACGTGAAGCCTCAAATGCTCACCCAGTTCTTGGGGACAAAGCTCAAGCTGCAGAGAAGAGGCAAGAAGAAACAACATATCCATGATGCTTCTCTCAGCTAGGGAGTCAGGAATAGCAGTATGGCATGTATCTAGATGTTTAGCGCTCCAGGGACCAGAGGTCAAAGTGTGAGGTAGTGGAACACCAGGATTCAAGTCAGCACCAATAAATCTATGACCTTTGGCAAAGGCACTAACCTTGGTTTCTTCACCTTTAAAACAATGATAATAACATCTCTGATTTAAAGCTTTTTGGGAGGAATAAATGAGATTGTATTTATAACACATTTTATAAGGAGAAAAAGACCAAAATGAAAAGAGGACAAAAAGTGTGTGTTGTGCAGCATTATAGATACAAGGGTTGGAGAGTTGGCTCAGCAGTTATGTATTGGCTACACTCACGTGGGGGCTTACATCTATAACGATAATCCCAGGGGGTCCAGCACCCTCTTCTGGCCTTTTCAGGTACTGCATGCACATGCTGCACAGACATATATGCAGGCACTCATTCACATAAAATGAATAAAATCTCAAAAAAAGATAAATCTCTGAGGGGATTGCAGTGAGAATTCAGAGGAATGTTGCTGCCACACTCAAGATTAGACATTTTTCTTTGCATCTCCACCCTCAGCCAAGTTCTTTCTCTCCTTCACATCTTCTCCCTCATGTGTTGTCTGTATTCCTTTGTTTATGGCTTCTGGGGAGACTCTCATGTAGCCCAGGCTGGCCTCACCTTGTGTAGCCGAGAATGACCTCCCAGTCCTTCTGGTTCTGTGTCTCACCTCTGACTGCGTACTCTTGTTCTCTCCCTGAACCTGCTGCAGTCTTTCTCTGCGGCAGACTTTCTCTGCAGCCTGCTCTGACAGCATTTTCTCACTGTCTTGAAATGTGAATATTCTAAGCATTCAGGGATTCTCAGTTCTCCACAGCCTCCTGATCAGAACTTGATCATTTGTAAACTCTTACTTGATTGTACTTACTTTGGGGTTAAAAAAAGATTCCCTTGTGGTTCCAAGTGTATAAATCATTGTGCAACAAATTCGTTTCTCCATTAATTCTGCACGAAGATCTTGCCAAAATGTCTGGAAGCAGTGATCACCTTTTTGAAGTTAAATTTACTTGTATCTTACTCTTACAGCCCTCGAGCCTTGCATACAGTGAGTGTGTAGTTAGTATTTGGTTGGGCAGTGACCCCACAGGTTCCCGCTGGGGCACCGTCTACTCCTCCTCTACAAAGCTCACTATCTCGTGTCTTACATAGCATGGGTGCACGTGATGCAGAGGATGAGAAGAGAGCACAGGGAAGCGTCCTCATCAGGCTCCTTTCTTGTCTGCAATGGAGAACACTGTCAAAAGTGACTTGGTAGAGCTTTAGAGGGTTTTTTGTGAACAATTTCTCCATGCTGTATGGTCATAATCAACTGTGATCTTACTATCAGGTTGACTCTGAAATAGGAAGTGGATGTGGATAGTTATGGTGCTAAGGGACGATGAGCAGTTACAGTACATCACTGCAGAGTCCCACCTGCCACAGTCGGCAGCATCTGTGTGCAGACTAGACTCCTCAGCAGACTCTAGTGCATTCTTACCCACATTTTACCTCCTCCTCCACTGCCCCAGCCCCTGTCCATCTCTGCTTCTTCCCCATTTTATTCCCATCTCTAGGAACAGAAGCGGAGGATGATCAACTAAGCATGCATTGAGTACTGACATGAAGGTTAGCCTGACACACCAGCCTGCACAGAAGGCTGAGGGCGCATGAACAAATACACCCCCAAAGGGAAACCCAGTAGTGGACACAGAGGATGAGGCCTTCCTGCTATAATGCAGTAGCTGTCTCTACACCAGATGCCTGGAGTACTGTCCCCAGCACATCACACACCATGATGAAGTGTTAACTCAAGTCACACATACATGTCATTCCAGCCCTGGGGAGACTGAGGCAAGATGTTCACAAGTTTCAACTCTACCTGGAAAAAAAAATAGTAAGATCCAGTTGTATAGCATACACTATAATCCAACACTCAGGAGGCTAATACAAAAAGAAAGTCATAAGTTTAAAGACAGCCTGGGCTATAGAGTAGACCCTATCTCAAAATAGGTGGACAAACCAAAACCAAATCATGTAGCAGTGAGTGACTGGTGATGACAGTTCCAGTTGAGGGAGCAGGTATTAGTTTGAGTTGTGCAGTGAAGCCTGGGACTAGGAATCAAGAGGAAGGAGATAACAGGTAAAGGCCAAGAAAAGGGGCCACAGAGTGACTGGCCTAGGCACCTGGCTGGCACAGAGGCCTGCCCTGCAGAGAGTTGTGAAGGTCCATGGGAAAGTAGGGCAAGAAGAGTTTGTGCGGAGTGGGGGAGGTGGCCAGGACACTTCCCAAGGTCAACAAAAGAGGCCCTTCTTTCCATAGGCAGAGACCTCGCCTGGGTGAAGCAGCCACATCTGGATGTCATAAACTTCAACTAACAAAAGCATTGGAGTAAATGTCAATTGTTTCCTACCCCTGCTAATCAATGCTGTGTGTGGTTCTTGCCTTTTTCTTCTTATTGTATAAATATAGTTTTAAAACACAGCTGGATTCTTATAGCCTTAGCCAGCAAATTAACAAGGTGCTGCATGTCAAGAATGGGGCCTCCCATTGTCCACACAGCACAGCTGTGCAGAGGACAGTAGTTATGGCCCTGCTAGATTTCAGTTCCCGGTGACTCAGGGTGACTGGGGCAAATTGAGGGATGTTTGCCTGGGAAAGTGGAGACAGACCAGAGCCGCCATCACCACCATGACCAGGCCTAGAGCTGTTCCCAGCCACTCTTATTCCAAGATATTTTTGCATCTCTGATTCTGAAAGTTATAAGAAAAAACCCGTTCTTCTTAAGGAAGGCATTTGGTCTTTAAACAGCATCTCTTTATTCAGGCATTTGTCCTTGGACACATTTAGGTTCACAAACTCACTAAAGTTATTAGAATTTATGAGATTATCAAGGTTTCTCTCTATATGATAAACATATGAAGTATTAGCCTTTATATCAATAATCATGTAAAGTATGAAAGGAAATAACATTTTAAAAAAAAAAATAAGTTCTATGAAACAGCCCGATAAATGCTAAGTTTCTCACATAGGAAGGATTCTTTCTCAAAAGACTAAAAACAAGCTCTGAGTTAGACCATGCTTTTCTTCTCACTTTTCTTGCTATTGTGAGAAGATATTTAACAGAAACACCCTAGGAAGGAAGGACTTGTTTGGACTCAAGGATTCTGGGACTTCCAACCATCATGGCAGGCAATGTCCACATCTTTGCTGCCACCAGAACCTTTGTAGAGGCTGGTAAAAAGCATGACGCTTGGGTCCAGGCTGCTGGGGTTTGCATCCTGGTTCCCATGCTTGTCCTGGACAAGGTGCTTAACTTTTCTGCACCTGGCTTTTGGAGAAGAGGGAATATAAAATTGGTGCTTCCGAAGGTTACTGTTGGAAACTTGATTATTTGATATTAACATGACATGATTATACAGCACAGCCATGACTGCTGGGCCACCACAGTGTTTAGGAAGTGGTCACCATAGTTAGTGTTTAGGGCTGTCGTGTGGGAAAGGGCCGCTGGTGCTCAGCATTCTGGGGTGGACAGTGTCAGGTGTCGATTTTCTCACTTTCTAGAGGAGCAGGAGTGCTCTGTCTCTCAGGGGACCTGGGGTCAGACATGCTGATGAGATGCCTTGGAACAAAGCAGGGTACAAATGTCAGATGTTATTGCTGCCATTTTTTTTTAAGCAGGGAGGTGAGTAGTGACATGGATAAAATGCACCCACTTGTAAGTGTGGGTAGCACTTGTGGGAAGTGCTTATGTCCACTGCAGACAGCACCCCTGCCTGATCTCTCCATGTGAAACAGCATTTCTGCTCTTCCAGAAACCTCAGCGAGCTGATAGACCGGTTTGTGACAGACTTCAAAGCCCAGGGTCCACCGAAACCGAACACTGACGAAGGGGGTGCTGTACTCCCCAGCTGTGCTGACCTCTTTGTCTACTACAAGAAGTGCATGGTGCAGTGCTCACAGCTCAGCACAGGCGAGCCCATGATCGCCCTGACTACCATATTCCAGAAGTACCTCCGAGAATACGCCTGGAAAATCCTCTCTGGCAATCTGCCTAAGTGAGTCCTTTTCCCCTTACTCTCAGCAGGAAAGCGAGACTCTAACATCCCTAAATATGGGAGTCTTTAAGGAAAGCCACCCTGGGCTTGTTTACTGAGCCACTAAGAATGTCGAGGAGGAAAACACTACTTCTGGGCTCCCAGGGGCCTGACGCACTGCTGTCTTCTTTAATGACAGTCCACAGCTGACCATGGCTGTCAGCAGGCGTGTTCCCTGACCACCAGTGAAGGTCACAGTGCATCACTGAGTTGGGCCTATTATATGCATGAACACAGTGCACATGGGCTCAACACAGAAAGAATATTACTCAATAGAGAGAAGTGTCGCTCCAGCCTGCTCAGTGTGTCCATGCCTTGAGTTCCAGATGGACAAGCCCCCCCCCCATTATCTCCACAGCCTCTGATGCTGTGTGCAGTCTTATGTTTAAAGATAGGGATGGATTGGGGCTGAGGAGAAGGCTGAGTGGGTTAAGTGTCTCCTTCACAAGCATGAGGACCCAAGTTCAGATCCCCAGGACGCACATAGAAAGCTGGATTTGACAACACCCACTTGTAATCATTAAACTAGGAGTCCAGGGCCTTAACGGCAGCCGGTCAGGCCAACTCTGGCAAGCTCCAAGTTTAATGAGAGATCGTATCCCAAAACAAGACACAGAACGATAGAGGAGTACACCCACTGTCCCCCTTTGCTCCCAGCCGGTGTGCACGGACACACGTGTGTACTGTCCGACTGTCTTCCTCTGCTTGTTCACATATGAACTGCTCCACATGTACGCATCTCACCTGAGAAAGATGGGTGGGAAACAGCTTTCATGCTGCAGATGCTTCCCCCCCCCCCCCCCCCCCCCCCGCCCCTGAGAGCTGCACTCAGGGAATCTCAACAAGGCACTGGGCTGAACAGCGTCCTTGGTGAGAATGGGGCCATCCCAGGTGAGGACTGCTCACCACCGCCTTTCTCTTGGCGTGTCTCTTCCTGTTCCTGTGGTGAGAGGGTCTAACAGATGACAGTCAAGGTAAGGGCTGGAGCAGAGGGGCCCATTGTATGTTGATTCATTTGTACTGCAGCCAGCCTTTCCTCCCCTTTCTTCTTTGTCATAAAATACACAGCTTCAGGAAGTAAATTAGCAGCTGCAGCCTGACTAGTTCCTGTCCTTTTCCTCAGGACCAGCAGCAGCAGTGGGGGGCTGACCATCAGCAGCCTCCTCAAAGAGAAGGAGGGCTCCGAAGTGGCCAGGTTCACTCTGGAGGAGCTCTGCCTCATCTGCAGCATCCTCAGCACAGCCGAGTACTGTCTGGCCACCACCCAGCAGGTGAGCCCCCAGCTGAGCAGGCTGCCTTCCTGGAGCTCTCAGCTGGACCTGGAACGGGCTGCGAGCGCCACTAAGCTCCACTGAGTTGACCTGCAGCAGGCCGGTTGGCCTCACAGGAAGACACTCACCATTGTAGTCAGAGATGCCCCGGCAGCCATCTAGCAGGAGAAGTATGGCCAGCCCACACCCTCAAGTTATGTAAGCCGCCAGCCAGGCAGGACCTCTTAAAAGTAGGTCAGTAGTGCAGTGTCCATAATGAGAAGAGATCAATAAACTCCTTTGGTGGGTGAGTTTCCCAGTGGCTCCATTCTTAGCCTGTTAATAAGCAAAGTCCTTCAGGATTTTATGTGTCTCCTGACATTTTCTAGTGTTCTCTGTCCACTGTAACAACCACTGTTTGAGATGTAGCCTGTGAAGCAGAAAGGGTGGGGCCTCTGCTGGAGCCGCTGGAGGCTTTTTACCAGCTTGCAGGAGGAGGAGCAACTGGCTACTCAGCCCGCCATAGGACTGGAGGCTCTTTTTCCCCCATTTGTCCAGGGGTCCCCCTGAGGCTAAGAGCAAGAAAGTGACCATGGAGAGAGAGCCTTGCTCTTCCTGATGTTGACGCTTATTTCCTAAGCTTTTAAGAAGTCAGTCACAAGGGACAGTTCAGACATGACAGCTTGGACCCCTATGTGCCAGGGTGTGAACACAGGAAGTGTCCAGCGGCTTCCTTGAGAGTCAGAAAACTGGGCCCAGATGCCAAGACCAAGGCTGTAGTAGCACGCTCTGCTTTGGGGCATGGTCACATAGACATACTTGAGGACCACTTTGGCCTTGGAGCCAGAAGTACATGCATGCACATGCACGAACACACACACACACACACACACACACACACACACACACACCTCATGCCGAACATAGGCATTTAAAGTGTGTGAGAAAGACATATAATGTCTCTGTGATTGAGACAAGGTCTCAGTGTGTAGACCAGGCTGGTCTAAAACTCAGAGAGACCCATCTGCCTTTGCTTCCCAGTGCTGGGATTAAAGGCATATGCTACCATGCCAGACTTTGAATACAGAATCTTAAAAGTAAAGTGACCAAAGTAGCATAAAACAAAACACGGCACTTAGGACTCCTTTAAACCTGGCCCACATTCTCAGCTGTGTCTGTCTCACTTTCTTCTTAAGCACTTTGCTTAAAATACGTAATAAAATGTCTTCATAAGCACACACACACACCAAACCGGCAGCTTGAGTTATTTTATAAACATAGTTTTGTATGCAGTTAACTTAGTTCACTTGTACATCCTCTTGTTAGTGTTAGTGTCTTAGCGTTCTCCTGTTACTAAACTATTTTTATTATTATTACTTATGGTTATATAATATTCCATTAAAGGATTAGTAGATATTTAATAATAGCCCTGGTATTTATTTATACTGCTTTAAAGTTTTGCTGCTTTAAATAATCTTACAAAATTATCCTTCTGAATATAGCATCTTACAAGTTTTATATTGTGTTTCTAGAACAGATTCTTAGGTATTTTAGAAGTATGAATAAATCAAAGAACATTTTGATGACTTGTATAGCCATTTTTTAATTTAATGAAAATCATCTTACTGATTATAAAAGCGTATGCATTCTTAGTCACCTATGAGCTGGTCTGAATGCCCTGTTCCTTTAGAAGAAGCAGAGATTTCCTGGAGAAGTGATTAGTTCCAGGGTGAGGGGGTAGGGTGGCTAGGGATGCAACACAGTTGGTCCAGGCCTTGCCTAGCGTGTGTGCAGCCCTGGCTTTCATCCCTCGCTCCACATAAACTGGGCGTGGTGGTGCACACTTGAATTGAAATCCCCATCTTTGGGAGTGGAAGAGGAGACTCAGAAGTTCAGGGTCTCCCTGAGCTTCAAGCGCACTTCACTAGACACTTCCCATAGCAGGCACTTCCACGGGTCATGGCATAGTGAGGACAGGCGTCTGTCTCTCAGGAGACTCAGACTGATGGAAAGCAGAAAGCAAGCAGGCAAGCCAGGGTTTCACTGCCGTTTTGTGTTAAGTGGGGGAGAAGAAGAAGCAGATGCCAAGAGAGGAGTTGGAAGGGCACGGAAATGGGAGTCTGGTCAGGAGGATGAGCAGGGGCATTTTAGAGGGAGGACGTATAGAGTGTGAAGGTCCTGAGAGACAAAGACTCTGAAACTGTAAATGCCATAGGCAAGGCAGGAGTAGCAAAATGAAACCAGAAAGGTAGACAGGACCCATGTCGTGCTTAAAGTTAGCATTTATCTTTAATGAAATGGTAGGGGCCACTGGAGCATGCAAATGCTGTCTCATCCTCCCTCATAGGTGTCCGTGTAGACTGCTCCCTGGTTTCCAGTAATAAAAACCCCTTCTGGATAGAACTTTACAGATACAGGATCTGACCCTTTGAGTTCTTTGAGTGGCCCCTCGCTCCTTTAAACAGCCTGGCACAAAGCAGGCTTCCGTAAGTGGTGGTGGAATTAACGCTGCCTAGAGTCCTTGCATAGCTCTGCAAGGACTCATGATTATTCTCATGATTTCAAAATTATTCTCATTATTTCAAAAAAATACATTTCTAAATGAAATTACCAGGTGCAGTTTATAAATTGCCTTCTAAAAAGGTTACCCTCATTTGCACACATTTTAAGAATAATTTTGTTTTTAAGTTTTTTAATACGTGTGTGTGTGCGCACGCCTATGTGCTTTATGTGCACCACATTCATTCAGTGCCCATGAAGGTCAGAAGAGGGTGATGGATTCCCTTAAGCCATAGTTACAGGTTGTGGTGAGCCACCGTGCAGGTGCTGGGAACAGAACCATCTGTCCAGTCCTCTAAGAGCACCTACATTTTAATGTAGCGCATTCATCTTCTTAGACTGAGTGTGATTGATTTATCAATTCCCAGGGCATGTTTAGGTCCTTCCAGACCCTGGCCAATTGTCTTATGTCAGTGATCCTACCCTGTACCCTAAGCTGACCAAGGTGAAGATGTATTTCCAGTCCACCGCTTGAGACATCTGGCACTTTGGCAAGCTAGTGACCACAGAAACACTTGGCAAAGGTCCGCTGATTTTACTGTCACTCAGAGTAGAAGTTCCTGACACTAATGAGCGAGACTAAGGCTCCTGGGGCACTCAGGGAGACCATACTTGTTAGTTCTCACAGACACAACAAAGGCAGAAAAGGTGATTGCAGTCTGGCACCATGGGGAGGAGCCCAGTGCTCCTGGCTGTGAGGTCATGAGCAGAGGCTTCTTGCATGCTAGCGGCCGGGAAGCAGAGTTTTCCTGTAACTTTGAAAAGTCCTCACTCACCCAGCTTCCGAGATCTAGACTCCATCTCATGAAGGCGTCACAGCCTCCAGAATAGCACCACCACTAGGAGCGAACACTCCAAGCATGAGCCTGTGAAGGACGAACCTCATGATCTATTGCTATGTGGTTAGAAGTAAGCCCAGTGTAGTGACAAAGGGGCTGGGTCCTCGGAAGCTGATTTTGGCTCTACCACCTGCTGGGAGGGCTACTGCAGTCCTCGTCTGTGAAGTGAGGGTGGTGGGACTTCCCTCACATCCTGATGAGAAGGAAATGTGTCTCATGTTGTGTCTGGACCTGTCTGGCTCATCCCCTTTGAGCCTCAGTTAGTGTATGGAACACCTTTGTATAATCATTAAACATGCTTCTGATTTATCGCTTTCCTAACAGCTAGAAGAAAAACTCAAAGAAAAAGTGGATGTGAGTCTGACTGAACGAATTAATCTCACTGGAGAAATGGACACATTCAGCACGTATGTACCTTCCAGGCGCTTACTCCAGGCCAACCTTCCTTTTCCAAAGGCAGTGTGTGCTTTAGTCCCTACAGAATCTAAGCGTTCCCCAGGCATTCTCTTCCTCCTCCTCATTCTACTTAAATAAGTTTTCAACACAGATGCTTTTGGAGGAGACCTTGAAGATACTCTAGGGTTAGCAATTATGGGAGTAGCCATGGAAGTTTGGGTCCTAACTGGATAAGACACACACAAATAAGAACAGGACAAAAAGAGCCAGTTCTTCATTGTCAGTGATTAAAACCCAAGATTTCATAAAGAAATGACAAATTTCAATTTTGCACACAAGCCAAAAGCACCTGAAGAGGCCCATAGCCATCATCCCGTCCCTTTCTGGAGCAGTGACCGCAGCCGTCTGTTTCTTTGCAGTGTCATCTCCAGCAGCATCCAGCTGTTGGTTCAGGATCTGGATGCAGCCTGCGATCCTGCCCTGATTGCCATGAGCAAGGTGAGGTCGTAGGAGCTGGCGTCCTACCAGAGTGACGATGTGCCATTCCTTATGTGTTTCCAACCCTGCTTAGTGTCAGCTGAGGGGATGGGGAGACCTCCCAGAGTTCCTGCTAGGCACCTGGGGCTGTTGCTGACCCTTCTGTGGGGTGGGGATGGGTTCTTGGGTCAGCATCTAGCTCCTGCTGAAACCTGTCCGTGCTCTTGCTGAATAAGCAGTTTGCTGAGCTCTGCAGTGCTGACTCTTGACTCTTTGCTTCATCCTGCCCACTGAGAGGTTCTGGCTTTTCCTGAGCTTTGGCGATTAGATTAATTTGATCACATAGTGGGCTCTGGTTTTAATGTACCCTCAGACCTATGGCCCTTTCATGCTCACCACGTACTGCTTTTTGGGGTTTTGCTTGCCTGTCTTTTCTTCCCCAGAGTGTAAATTCCTGAGGAACGTGATGGCTCTGTGTATAACCTCAGGATTTAGAAGGCTGAGGCAAGAGGATTTCAAGTTCAAGGCCTGCCTGTACTACACAGGAAGAACAAGAGTATCCCTACATGTCTAGACCATATTGGAGCCTTCATGTTTATTGATTAAGTAGAAAGTAGGCAATTCTTTGTTGACTTTTAAGCCCAGCAAGCCTTGTAGAGCAAGGGATAACAAACCATAGCCTGCAGCCAAATGTGGCCCACCACTTGTTCCTGCAAGTCTTAGTGGAACATAGCCATGTTCGTTCCCTTATGCACCCTCTATGGCTGTCTCTGTGCTGTGACTGTAGAAATTAGTGGTTAGAAAGAGACCTTATAGCCCACAAGGCAAAAACACTGACTAGCTGACCCTGTTCAGAAAAAGCTTGCCAACATTTATCTAGTCATGGGCTCTTGGAAGACTCACTTGTCTGGGGAAAACTAGGCAGGATTTATGACAGAGGGCAGTGGGAGGAACCTTGACACTGGGGTCAGACAGCCCTGCATTCTCTGGTTTCTTCTGAGAGCACTGCACACATGACTTAGACTGTGCAGGCCCGTCTCCTCTATGTGAAATGCATCTGGCTGGCTGTCTCCCAGAGCTGTGAGACTGGACAGCAATGAGTGCCTGGTGGTGCCAGTCAAGTGCTCAGAAAGCCTTGGTTCCTCCCTCTTGACAAGAGGAATGTCATGCCTCAGGAAGCAGACATTTGGTCTGAGTTTGGTTTTATAGTAGATTATAACTATTTAACAAAAGTAGGATTAAAACCAAAACTTTGGCTTTAGGGTTTAAGGAGTGAAGTAGGAAGTTATGAAGCAGCTGATGATCCAAAGCTCCTGTTCCCAAGGCCAGTCCTATGCCCGGCCGGGATCCCCAGCCACACACTGTCAGCAGGCAGCTGGAGGCTAGGCTGTTCTCTTAAAGAAGCAGGCTGTGAGGATTCGTTTCCTGGGCTCTGGCTATTCCCTCACTGCTGGAAAACACTCTATGCATCCTGAGTTTGATCCGTTCCAGCTGCCATCTCCTGAACCGCCACACACCGCAGCCTGGAACGCAGCTGCCAAAAGATTTTCACACTGACCAAAGGATGAGTGGAATCTTTTTTTTCCCTCAGTAAAATAACACATGGAATGGGTTTAACACTGCAGGTGTTGCTTATATGAACTGTCAGTTCATTAGGCAGACTGCCCTCAAGTTCCCCTTCCTCACCGTCCATTTCTCCCTAGATGCACACCAGCAAATATAGCCAGACCTCCAGAATCTTGTGTTTATATCATAGGAAAATCCTAGGTTTGGGAGCATAGCAGTTGGAAGGCCATTCCTTTGTGTCGGAGTCTTCTGGAGTTCTAGTAAAATGAGATCCGTGTGATTAAACATGGCAGTGGTCATGGGCTGCCTCGGTATGCACCCCGTTGGTGTCTGCAGCCTGTTTCATGGAGTTTCTTCTAGAATTTCTCCAAACCTTTGTGATGGCGATTATTTCCGCCTCTGATTCCATCATTGTTTGCTGCTGGCTGACTAGTCCAGCTTGGACTCTGCCTAGCACGAGGCTGGGAAAGGCCTAGGCATTGTCTCCAGGTGTCTCATCTGGTGGGCGGAGGCAGGAGATGTGGGCAGAGTGTGCGGAGAACTGTGGTGGGGGTGAGAGGAGAAAAGCAGAATCCAGCAGTTAGCATGAGAATCCGACGGGGGGGGGGGGTGGAATGAGGAGGCTGTTCCCAACAGGACTACAGTGGGAAGCAAAGCTTCTTAAGTTAGGAAAGTCATTTTTGTCAAAAATTACCAATCCCACTCACTGCCCTACGAAGTTGCAGAATACTCTGGATTCAAGCAAGACTTGTTTTCAAGTTTATGCTGTGTGGGAGAAAACTCCAAATAACAGTCGAATAAATAGATGTATTTCATAAATAGTGAGGACAGTGTGGAGTGGGCTTCCGGTAGCGGAACCCAGGGCTGGCTCTGAGGAGAGGGACCCAAGCTCCTTGACAAGGTGGCTGGAGCCCAGCAACTCCATTGTCCTGGGAGGCCAAAGCAAGCTCTAGATCCTCCTCAGTTGCCATATTTCCTGTCAGTACCTCGGATCTCTTGACTGCACAGTTGGTACTGCTCTTGTGCCAACACTGTGCACCCCAGGTCCCAGCCGGTCCCACTAGCCTGAGTGTGCTCTGCCTTCTGGTGGTTTCCTTGCCCTCCCTCCCTCTGACCTTTTTGTGTAGAATTCTCTTCCCATCGTGGTCTATCCAAAAAAAAAAAAATGTGCGACCTTTTTAAGAGCGAGCTTGATTATTTGTCCCCCTTGTAAAAGTTACAGTGTAATTCCTGTCTTAGTTAAGGTTTCTGTTGACTATCTGTCCCCCTTGTAAAAGTTACAGTGTAATTCCTGTCTTAGTTAAGGTTTCTGTTGACTATCTGTCCCCCTTGTACAAGTTACGGTGTAATCCTGTCATACTCCATTACCTAAGGAAGTCAGGGTAGGAACCTGGAGTCAGGTTGACAAAAACAAAACAAACCACCACCAACAACAACAAAAAAAACCCTAACCAGAACAAATCCCAGAGCACAGTTCGCTCCTTAAAGTGTCCAAATTAATAGAATTTGGTACACATATGAGGCCACATGTCCACCAGGACTGTCTCATTCCAGGGTAGCCTTATCACCCTAGAAAGAAGCCCATCCCTCTCAGCAGTCCCCCCCACACACACCCACCATATTCCCTCAAAGCCATTAGTCTACTTCCTGTCTGTATAGATTACTATTCTAGACACTTTACATGTGGTTGTGTGTAGCTTTTCCTGCTGGGCTTCCTTCACTGCACATTATTTTCAAGGTTCATTCATGATAGTCCATGTGTTCATACCGCACATTTCTGGTTTTTTGTGAATTTTGTTTGTTTTTATTTCCAGATAGGGTCTTGCTGTATAGCCCTGGCTGGCCTAAAACTTACTATGTAGACCAGGTTGCTCTAAAACCCACAAGTGATCCACCTGCTCTGTCTCCCTAGTACTAAGATTAAAGATGTACACCTCCACATCTGGATGTACTCCATTTTAAAGCAATGCTAGGGCTTGAACTCAAGACTTTGCAGAGGCCAAGCCTCTAGTTCATTCCTTTTAATGACTGAGTGATATTCCATTATTTCCTTGTTAGAGTTATTTCCAGCTAGTGTGAACAATGATGTAAACATCTGTGTGAGTGTATGTTCTCAGTTCTCTTCAGTGCACACCTAGAAGAGGAAGTGCTGAATCTCAAGCTAGCTTCGATGTTACTGCTCCCGGCACTGCCTCATGGTTTCCCACATCTACCAATTTGACATTCCCACCAGCACAGTATAAGCTCCTAATCTTCCCACATTTCCACCAGTATTTACTTTGCATTTATTAAAATCATGGCCATCCTTGTAGGTATGAAGAAGTACCTTCTTGTGGCCTCACTGCATTTCCCTGATGACTAAGATAAAGTGACAATAGGGATCTCTTTGGGGTTGGCAATCTGAGTGTCCTCCTTAAAGAAATATTAACTGAACTGTCACCATTGTAAACTTGGGTTTTCTGTTACAGAGTTATAGAAGTTCTTCATCTTCTCTTTCTCTTTTATTTTTTAGTGTTTTGCTTTTGATTTTCTTTTCTTTCTTTCTTTTTTTTTTGGTTATTTTTTTGGGGGGTGGGGTTTTTTGTTTTGTTTTTTCAAGACAGGGTTTCCCTGTGTATCCCTGACTGTCCTGGAACTTACTCTGTAGATCAGGCTGGCCTCGAACTCAGATCCACCTGCCTCTGCATCCTGAGTGCTGGCATTCAAGATGTGTGTTAGCTCAGGGTAGTGTCAATCTATCTGTCCCGCTGCTGCAGCCTCCCAAGTGATGAAAGTTCCTTTTAGAGCCTATAGCAGCTCTGTGTTGTGTTCACTCGTCCTGGGGACTGACTTTTCATTCCTGCATAATGTGTCCTTATATCACTGAAGTCTAATTTATTATCTTTGTTCTTATTCTTATGCTCTTAGTGTCATAACAAGGATAGATTCCCTAAGGACGAATCAGCTTTATAGGTTAGGCTCTTATGTCCAAGTCTTCAATCCAGTTAGAGTTAATTCTGCGTGTGGTGTGAGGAGAGCACTCACTGCATCCCTCTGCATGCAGGTATCCAGCTTTCCCACCCGTGTGCTCAAGAGACAGTTTCCCTTATTGGGTGGTCTTGTTACTCTCTGCAAAAATCCTAAGAGAGGCTGGAGTGGTGGCTCAGCAGTTAAGCACTTACTGCTCTTGGTTTCTAGAACCCCACTGGGGACTTACAACCCCCTGTAACTCTAGCTCCAGGGACCAGGCACACATGCAGTACACATATATGCAAGCAGGACTTGCATACACATAAAATATAAGTGCATCTTTTTAAAAAATGAGAATAAGCCAGGTGGTTGCTACACTCCTTTAATCCCAGCACTCAGGAGGCAGAGGCAGGTGGATCTCTGAATATGAGGCCAGTCTGGTCTACAAAACAGTTCCAGGACAGCCAGAACTGTTACTGTTACTGTTACTGGAAGGGAAAGACAGA